TGCACATTTACTCCGATAGGTGCACATACTAAGGATAGGTACTTGTCTGTATAACCTCACCTCATCGATGACAAGATTCTAATGATCATACAACATGATATTTACTAAGAAACAAAACTATGTTAAAGGGTTTAGAAATATTTAAAAAATTTTATTGCAGAAAGCATTTTGTTTGGTTAATTGACCCTCAGATTTCAATCAACCAGAATTAGTCTTTATTTGGAATATCCCAGTTAATCGAAGTTTTAGCTTCTTTGAACTAAATTTCATCTTTCTTCTAAATATCCATTGTGTCCTTAACTACGTAAAGAGATGAGTACAATCAAGATAAAGGGTCCCTCTAATCCCAAAGTTCTTATTTTCCTTAACACCACTGTTTTCCCTCCTCTGAATGATTTGGATATTCGAGAAAAAATAGTTTAATTTGAGTTTTATTTGTTTTGTCAATTAGGGCTATATTAAATTACATAGAAATTAGCTGATTTGAAGATTTCATTTTAATTTTGCAATTATGGCTTATTGAATGTAAGTTTTTGCTGATCTATTTACTATTTTTTAAAATTCATTTTTAATTTCGTTAACATACAATGTTAAATTATTTTCTTGTGTACAACAGAGTGATTCAACATAGATACCTTAAAAAGTGATCTCTATGACAAGCCCAGTACACCGATGCTATGCTTAGCTATTACGATATTAATGACTCTATTCCCTGTACTGTACATTAAATCCCCATGATTTATTTTATAACTGGATGTCTGTAGTTCTTAATCCCTTTTCCCTTTTCTGCCCAACCTCCCATCCCCTTCCCCTCTGACAACCATCAATTTGTTCTCTGTATCTATGAATTTGTTTCTTTTTCATTTTGTTTGTTCATTTGTTTTGTGTTTTAGATTCCACATAAAAGTAAAATCACATGGTATTTTTTTTTTTTTTTTTATGTCCGACTTATTTTACTTAACATAATATTCTCTAGCTCCATCCATGCTGTCACAATGACAAGAATTTCATTCTTTTTTGTGGCTGAGTGATATTCTATTGAATATAACTTGTTTTTACACTTGCAAGACAAGGAGAAATTAAAGAGAAAAACATAGATAATTTAAGTCAACAACGACTTGGGCAGGACAACGTGTGTATTGTTTGTCATTGTGAAAGCAGCAACTAGCTCAGTGCTTGGTATGTAATATAGTCAATAAACATCTGTTGAATAAATTCGTGAAAAAATGAATGTGAAACATAGGGGTTCTTTTTGAACATTTTAATAATTGGTTTTGCTGTAGTGGCCAATGGAAGTAGGGCAAGGAGGTGAGGGGGTCTTGATTTCAATAGCTTACTTGAAATTTGATCCACCTGCCCACTTCACAGCTTAACTGTAGAAAAAGTATATCAACTTCCATTTTCCTAGGGAAGTATTACAGTTCTGTTATTTAAAAAGTGTGTATTTTGCTAAAGGACTTCGTGTAATTCAAAGGAGATTTTAAAAATTAAAAGAAGCCTGGAAAACTTATTATCCAAAATGGTGTCAATTTATATGTATTTAAATTCCTGTAGCTGAGACCTATGCGGCTTAGTGACTCCGCAGTAAAGGTGCTCCACACATGTTTTTCGAGACAGAGATGCACTGCTCAGGGTCACAGTCTTGTCTGAACAAGGCCAAGAACTCACAGAGACAGTTGATCCTTCAAGAAGAAACCGGATCTCCTGATGAAAAAAACTCCCTAAAATGTTTGTTTCAAATGGCTCTGTTCCATTGTAGCTGGAGGAATTTTTCAGACAAAACATTAAACTAGAAGTCAATTAAGAAAGCCAAAACAGTCTGACCGCCTTACTCCTGTCTTAATGTGGGATTTAGAACGACTGAGTGACTGTGACTAGTGTGTGGGTCCTCGGATTCTGAGCATTTCTACCTCATGGGACAGTTAGGCGGCCCTTGAAAAATCCAGAGCCTGAACAGCCATCTTTTATATTAAGAAAGAACTTCAGAACATGAATCTCAAGGAGGAAAAGAGAAAGTGTTTAGATGAAATAATTTCAGTGGGTGGTGTCAGTGGGATCTCACTCATATGAAGACTCTAAGGTGGAATTGCTATAGGTTTAATTCACTGTGTGCGGAGTGTGTGTGTGTGCCACACAAGTAAAAAATGACATGTTTTTTCTTTATTTTCTTTGACAGTGTCAGGGAAAAAATAGGTTCCATATGCAGTATACCTAACCCTACCTGTCAAAATTGGATAAAGCAATCATAGCTATCGCTATTTTAGGGAAATGGATTTTTGTGAAACAGGTAAAAGGTCAAGATATAATGCATTATCTATTTTTAGAAAATATTCTTCATATGTATTTTTTTTTTTTAAAGTCTGAGCCAGGGTAAATATACCTGCTACTTTAAAAAATGAAATTCCCCACACTTTTCTAAAATGCTTATTCTTTTATGTAGCAGAAAACATTCCAAATGGCTATTGCTTTTATTTTGAAATAAAGCTTAGGGTTATCTAATTGAATAAAAGAACATTCAAGTCCTTTTAAGAGTTAGGCAGCTATAGACAAATCTAGATTGGATTTGTAAAAAAGACTTTTTAATAAAAAAAAAAAATAGGAGCAATAAATGTGCTCTTCTAAAGTGACGTCAGCATGCATAGCACCCTTGGCCTGGACATAGGCCATAGGTTATGGGGCAAGAGAAGGCCATAGGTGGTGGTTCTTTAAAACACCTGCTTCCAGCCTGCTAAAGATAAAAATCCAGAGAATTGCCAGTAGCCTTGTGGACGTTCCAGATATATAGCTTCATAGCCCCCAAATAAAGGGCATTATTGATTGAACTACACTTGAATATACACTGTCAAACACATGAGGTAAACGTGCTGCTGGAAATGCTCTGGAATTGGTTTTCTTCTAATGTCCGTACTTTGCACAAACAGCATCCCATGTGGCCATATCAACAGATCTGTGTAGATTGCCTCCAGTGTTCAGACTTTCAGATTGGTGTTGCGATCTATACTGCAGAGAAAAGTTTGGGATTTTTTAGAAAAAGCAAGGATTCCTGTGTAGAAACTCTTGGTCTGATATAGAAAGTGTATCATAGACAGCTGGTCTTCAAATACCGCCTCTTTGTTCAATGTGGTTTCATTATAACATTGATGAGGGGGGAAAAAATGATTCCTGGCCAGGATCACTGTCTGTGTGGAGTCTGCCATTGTTCCATGTCTATGTGGGTTTTCTCTGATGATTCCAGTTCCCTCACATCCCAAAGATACGCACGTGAGGTGAACTGGTGTGTGTAATTGTCCCAGGCCGCCCTTGACCCGGAACTACAATAAGCAGGTTGGAAGGGAGTTCTCTTACTTGTTTTCATTAATCTTTCTTAAATGTCTGTCTAGCTCACATTTCTTTCCATGTTTAATATAAGAAGTATTTGGCTCTTTATTTAGAAGTTCGGTGATGTTTTGGGGATGAGAAATATGCCATAGGAACTTAACTTGTGTTTATAGCAATTAGCCGATGGTAACATTAGTTCCCTTATACACTCTTTCACTTAAATTTTCATTGTCCAAGAACCTATTGACAATGCTAAGTGAGAACAGATTATATATATATTTAGTGTTTTTATATATTGGCATCAAATATTTGGCATTTCCAAGCCCAGGAATTCTATACAAGTGGTGCTGCCTGGAATTGTGAAACCTGGTGGTCTAGTTTAGGATAGGAATTCTAATTCTTTTGGGGGTTGTGCACTCCTGCGTTTGATGAAAGCCACGAATCATTTCCCTAGAAAAATATTTCAATTCTCACAATAGCCTTATGCGTATAAGGATTGTGAATATAAGGGGCTTACAGCTAAGACCTCAGCTGCAGAGCTGGTCATTGATCGAATGTCTGCCTGCACACTCAAGCTCTTTCTCCATACTCTAGTCCTTCGGTTTCCGAAGCTAAGCCATTTCAGAGCTCACACTGGCCTTCTTTGTCAGCCTCACCTCTTGTTCCTTCTTCCAAGCATCCTCGACGGAAGCCACACCGAATTACTTACAGTAGCTTCATGCTGACCTGTGAACACGCTGTTCCCGCTCAGCTCCCTGAAAATCCTTCGTCACTTGCCTCACCACATGAAGACTCAGCTCCAATGTCACCTTTCCTAGGAAGACTTTCCAGCCCTCTTCCCTGCTCCCTTCATCCTCTTAGATTCCCTTCCTTCACACTGTCATTGTACCTTCCTCTGTCGTGATTCCATTTACCAAGCTGCACCGTGATGGATGCTGACTTGTCTGTTTTTCTACTATTTCAAGGGCAGATGTGTGTGTGTGTGTGTGTGTGTGTGAGAGAGAGACTCTGAGAGAGAGAGGGGTAGATATTTGGTTGAAGTGTTGCTAGTGATTCAAAAACGTAATTTCTCTTTCCTGGCATCAGATCTACTCTCCTGTATCACCGTATGAAGATATATTTCCCCCCTAAAGAACTCTAACGCGTGCAATATTAATAGAGCCATATGCTAGCCCTCTCTCGCTGCCATGGGTCACACTGATAACACTGAAAAATGTATTCTTGTTTCAAAGGAATAACATGACCCCATTTCTCTGATCATGAGTTCATGTTTTATTAGGCAATTATTTCTTAGTAATATAGTTCTATTTTCTTGATGGCTTAAGAGGGGGATATCTTATAAGTTAACTTTTTAACTACAAATTTCAAAGTAATTTAAAAGCAGTAACAGAATTTAAATATATTGAGTTTCTGTTATCATTTTTATATACATTTGTATTATTTTACTAAGCACACAGTAAATAGAAATCAGTGTTACAAAGATGAATGGAGTAATACCTACAGAAACAAAGTAGTAATTTAAAAGTGACTTTAAAAGAAGCAAATCTTTCTTTATAAAAGGGAATGCAGTCGGAGGGCAGGGGTGGATGGATTTCTTGGTTTTTCTTTATAGTACAAAACGACATTTTATTGCACGCTGAAAATATTATTACTACTTACGTTTCTTTTTCTTTCTCCCCTAGGCCAAATTTACAGATGACTGCAAGTTCAGGGAGCGATTTCAAGAAAACAGCTACAACACCTACGCCTCGGCCACGCACAGAACGGAGGGCACAGGCCGCGAGTGGTACGTGGCCCTGAACAAGAGGGGCAAAGCCAAGCGCGGCTGCAGCCCGCGCGTGAAGCCGCAGCACGTGTCCACGCACTTCCTGCCCAGGTTCAGGCAGTCGGAGCAGCCCGAGCTTTCTTTCACCGTCACTGTGCCCGAGAAGAAGCCGCCGAGCCCCGGCAAGCCCAAGGTTCCCCTCTCCGCGCCCCGCAAAAGCCCCAACACAGTGAAATACAGGCTCAAGTTCCGTTTCGGATGATGCCCCCGGGTCTCCGCAGGCGGCCCCACTGCTCTGGGGAAGCCTTGGACAGGCCCCGCCGCCCTGCGGGGAAGCAGCCACGGGGCGCGGCGCGGCGCGGGGAGCC